ACAAGTGCTGCTCTATATTAAATAATGCATACCGTACCAATTTTTTTTTTGGGAGTTTTGTTCTCATAACTAATGGTTTATCTATAATTGAAGGCATACAATTTCTGTTAAACCAACTTGGATTTAAACCAGCATTATCAAGATAATCATCATAATTTACATTCTGGAACTATGCTTTAATAATTTAAGCAAGCAACCTTGCAAAATCCAAACTACAAGTTGATAACAAAAACACATGTAACCATAGAATAGATGCATCTATCAAACTCATACAATAGTAAATGGTCCACATGTCAGGTGACTGGGCTCATATATGTATCACCTTTTATTCGTTTCAGAAATCAAGAGATTCAATCCCAACCTTAATTGGTATATCATGAGAATAAGCTAGAGAATTCTTGAATAATCTTCTATTCTTCAATATATGCCATTGTGAATTCTCAATTAATTTTCGCATCATAATTGAACTGGGATGACTAACCGGTCATGCCAACCAACATTTGTTTCAGTAAACCTCTAGTTTACTTGTGTCGTGTGATTCTATCATCATGCTTATACTTGTGTAGTATAAATCAGAGGAATGTCGGATAACTTTTTATATTTACCCAGTATGATTATAGTAATATAAAAATATTCAATCTTCCTTTCATTTATAGTTTCAATATGCCAACCACTTTGGCTAATATATTTGAAACTCAAAAAGTTTCTTTTGCGATTTACTACAGTATCAATGTCATGAGCAATTTCATTCATCCGGATAGTAACAAATTAGTTATTTCGGAGCTCTTAATTGATTTTGTACTACAAGATTATTCGTCGCACTATCCATATGGTGAATGCCTCCTTCACAGAGAAACGCATATCATAATAATTGTCATGGTCAAAATTATCATAAGCAAAATCATATCTCGCTTTAATTTTTCCTTTAATAACTTTCTATAAGGCATGGCAAATTATATTTTGGCATACCATGATATGTACACGACCAATGACATATTCATGTAACCACACAGTAATGTTCATTATCTTTCTTTCACTCAAACCTCCCGTAGAGGTGAGTTGTAGTATCTATTCAACCATGCATAAGCACATTCTTATGCATATTTTGTATCACATATATATTTTCATATTCACTTTCAGGAATGAGTCTACATTTACAATACTTATCACAATCACATTTTCAAGGAATTGACTATAATCATGTGAACGTATTTCGTATTACCAGACTGCATTGATACATATTTCCTTCAACTTTGAAGGACTATTTTGAAAATTCTTATTATTTTTCTTTTTACAATTACCATAATGGTGACTATTATTGTTTTGGTCTTTGGCACGCCCATATTCATTGGTCAACCACTTGTCTTTACTTAGACTTATTATGAACCACTACCATATTCACTTCAAGAACGGAGCAAATCAAGTGAGACAAGCTTCATGCTTTTTCATGAAAAATACATTATTTTTCTATAACCATCATTATATCATCAATATGGTGCATTGGGACTCAAACTCAATGCCTTAACCATATAAAGACGTATTAAGCTATAATGTGTTGGGAATAGAACCATTGTCTTATCATCATGGTGCATCACGACTCAAACCTGATGTCTTACCATCATGGTACGTTGAAACTTAAACCCACCGTCTTACCCTTCATCAATGTCACTAGGCCAAAGTGCAATGGGACTCACTCTTGCCCTTAATAATATTACCAATTTTGATGGTTATATGCACAAAGTCATTCATGAGTCAGAGTGAAATTATTATCATATTAATTAGATTCACAAAAAATCAAACAAATGCGCAAAGAATTTTACATTAACAACAGTTATACTAAGAAATTGATTTTTTTTTATGTTGCTAATTTGCAACTTAAAAAATCACACCACTAGTTGCTTGGTTGATTAGTAATTATAACATAAAATATATTAATAAGAGGTGATGTATCAAAGCACCTAAGCTTCTGGAGTAAATTGACCAATAGAGCAACATAAATATGGCTATGTGTTTCAAAGTCAAAAGTGAATCTCATACTTAGGGTCATGTATACTTACTGCTAATAGGTATTAGAAGTTCGATAAACACTCTTAATAATATTATAAGGCAGTCAATTATTCATATGTTTAGCACCTTTTCATATATATAAGTTATTATCAATCAGTTGGGATTTTTAAAATCAATAAAATATTAAACAACATACATTCAAAAACTTGGTAAAAGAAAAATCACTTGTAGCACTCATGCAAGACAAAAACAAAAAAAAAACAAAAAAAATTATGTTCATCCAACAGTAGAAGAATTGAAAATGATGGGACGGTCTTAGGATGGCAAGCACACATGCATGCTGATGCATATATGAAAAAAAAAAACAGCAACTAAATTGTATAACGAGATATCAGGATAAAGATAAGGAATATTTAACCATACAAAACTGGTAGCATGTGAGAGTAATTCTAATGAAACAGAGTAAAGAGATAAGAAAAAGCATATTCATGTAACAATGAAAAAGTTAATGTTTACCGCAAATAGTTTGTGATAACTGTGGGAAGGCTATATGTTATGAAAATCTTTATTTTCTTTCTTATAGCTATAGATATCCCAATCTCAAATAACCAGAAAAGAAAACTATTATAGCTAGGCCAAGATAGAGTACAACAAGGAAAGAGTAATACACCTTAGGTATGATCGCAAGGAAACAATTTTTTTTTACCTTCTCCCATAAAGGGGTTTTGTAGATAGAATTTGTATAGCCAACCAGTAGCAAATCCCTTTTGATTTCTTCAAGCACTGATCAGTACAATATGAGGTGAATAACTTTCAGTTAACTATGTGATAGTAGTATGAGTTCGTAGTGGATGAAGGCAAGCTTCGTGCGTTATGAAATAAAAGCAATATAGCAAGAAATATGTAATTAAGATTAATAATATAAGAGAATGATAATATTAGAAAGTAACGTTTCTTTTTTCGTTTCAAAGTATCTTCTTTAGGTTCATGAATGAACGTATTTATAGATACTATTGCATTGTTATATAACTTTCTAAATCTAATTTTGAGTCTCAAATCAACAAAAATCTAGACATGAAGACAAGTCTAGCTATGACAAGATTTCCAAATCTCAAGTTGGACATCTACATTCAAGTGAATTTATAACAAAAACAAGTCCCCCCCCCCGCCATATAATTTAAGACATAACATGTGAGTTTCTTTAGTCACTCATATGTAACCTCCTATCCTGATTGATCACATAAATCACTTTAAGCAGTTGAGTGTATTTCCTTGGTTTCACGTTTTATGTGGCTTGACTTGGCATTGTTATTAAGATTAAAGTCGAGGATATATATAAATGATTGTTATTCAATCTGTATTGATGTAATAACTAATAAAAATGTTAAATTTTCTGAAATAGAAATAGAAACAGAAAATTGGTAGAATCAGTTTAACGAAATAAATTGTGAAAAACAATATAGGAATAAATCGAGTCCACTGAATACACAGTGTGTCCTTAAGGAAATTATTCCCCTCAAGTACCCGAAGTGCTGGAATATATCCTCCCAGGATAGAACGATTTAACTCACTAGTGTATTGGTACCAAAATCTCCGATGAACTTCGAATCACTCAATGGTCGTAAAACACACTGGAAAATATTGTTCAGAAGAAGAAGAAGATAATCAGAAAATTCAGTAAGTAAATATTCTAGGATTCAAGGCATATTTATAGATCATTTGGCACTGTTTCTGAAACGGTTTGCAATCTTTCAGGAACAGCCATAGCTGTTGGAACAGGTGGGAAGAAATATTGCGGGAAAACAGAAAACGAATTTAAAATAATTCGGGAAAGAAAACGGATCGGACTGGGTCGCGGGTCATGGGTTATTCCGGATTGAATTTTCGTTAATTAATTAAATAATAGAAAGGAATTTTGTCCAAAAAGATTAATCAATCAAGCCGAAGTCGAGCGAGCAACGAATGACAACGACGCGAGGTTTGCCTTCTTCTTAACTCTTTAAGAGCTAGAAGAAGAGCAATTGTATATATACCATCAAAAGTCTTTTTTCCACCAATATGAGATAATGTCCCGTTGCCAAAGAAGAAACTCGAATATTTCATTTTTCCTCCATTTTCCATTCACCCTCTTTAAGCTACGCCAAACTTAAAAGTCCAACAATGATTAATAGAAGTGGAAAATGAAGATGAGCTTCAGCTGAGGCGAATGTGTTTGAATTTCAATCCCATCCTCACTTCTACTATCCAGTAGTCTCTTTTGCATTCTCTAGTTAACTATGTGAATGTAATAACAATTCAATTCCAAATAAATTGGAGTTCGCTATATAAAGTTTCTCTGACCATATTTCTCAATTCAAGGTCCACTTACATCATCATATAAAAAAAAGTTAAATATATATAAATGATATACTAGTAAGTAACAATAGTACGAGTCTCTATATTTATATTGGCATATCAATCTATAATAAAGTGAAAATACTCATAGAAAGCAATAGGTTGAAAATCAACATACTAACAAGACTTATTTTCAACTATAGTTACTTATGTGAATGAAAAAAAAATTAAAGAATTATAAACATATTAATTAGTCATAAAAGGAGAATTGAAATTATTCAATTATTATTCTGTAGTCGGAATTTTTTGAGTATTTGCTATACATTTTTATCTGCAATTTGATTTAAAGTTTTGCAGTTTTAGTTTAGCGGGAATTTCAAAGAGGGTGGCTCCAAAGTTTAGAAATTTGCGCCATTTCAACTAATGATGTGCTTTAGCAATTTTTATTAAAAATTTAAAAAACCTTCAAATTATCCAGGTTGGGCACGGGGCTTTACTGAAATTAAAAATAGTAGTAAGTCGAAACTACACCGTTTCAAGCGCAGAAATGGCGCAAAATTCTAAACTTTGGAGCCACCATTTTAAACTTCCCGCTAAACTAAAACTGCAAAACTTCAAATCAAATTACAGTTAAAAATTTAGCAAAATCTCAAAAAAAAATTGGCTGCTCTTCTCCCGGGTTTTTCTTCCCTACTTCATCCTCTCTCTTTTCACTCTTCTCCATCTTCCTATTCACACACATTTCCTCACTCTCCCATTTTTTCCTCCTCCTTCTGTCCCTAAAAGAAATCAATGGGGGGCAAACTTCAGTTTTTACCACCAGCCAAAAGATTCATGCTAATGCAACAACAAGAACAAGAAGAAGAACAACACAAAGATAATGGCTCTGTTTCATCTTCACAACTTCCTGCTAAAAAGCGTAAATTCTCTCCTGAAAAAACACCCTTCTTTTCCGATAGCACCAATGTTACTACTCTCTGCTTGCCAGCCAAAAAACGTGTTTGGGCTTTTCACCCATTTGACCTCAATATTGAATATAACCCAATTTCTTCTCTCAATGATGAAACTAAAGAAGAAAAATTATCTGAAGAAACATTAATTAGTCAAGCTGACATCACTCTTCAACAAGCTGCAAAAACAAATGATGATGATAACGAAGACGGCATTATCTGTGCTATTTGTGAAAGCACAGATGGAGACCCATCAGATCCAATAGTTTTGTGCGACGGTTGTGATTTAATGGTCCATACAACTTGCTACGGTCATCCTTTTACAAAGGGAATCCCAGATGGTGATTGGTTTTGTGCTCAATGTTTGGCCTCAGAAACAGAGAGCCGAAACCCTATTACTTGTTGTCTCTGTCCTGAAACCGGTGGAGCCCTAAAACCCACTGTGAATGAGGGTAAATGGGCTCATGTTGTTTGTGCACTTTTTGTTCCTGAAGTCTTCTTTGTCGATCCAGAAGGTCGTGAAGGAATTGATTTCAGTAAAGTGCCTAAAAGAAGATGGGAACAAAAGTGTTATATTTGTAAATCCAGAAATGGTTGTGCTATTGATTGTTCTGAGCCGAAATGTCCTTTGTCTTTTCATGTGACTTGTGGGTTGAAACAACAACTCTGTATTGAGTACAGAGAAGGAAAGAACAAGGCTGCTGTTGTTGCTGGTTTTTGCAGAAGCCACACTGAACTATGGAAAAAGGTTGAGTCTTTTTTCTTCTACCTTTGCTTGTTATCTTTTTCCCCCCCTTTCATTTAGCTTCCATATATTGATACTATATAAAAGAGCATTTATATTATTAATGTAGTTTAACTTGTTATGAGTTATGACATGTAGAATGTTTTGAGTTTTTAGGTTATTAATATTTCTTGTTACTAAGCTTTCATTTTTATAGATGGCAAATTTCCTTATTTACTAATCTTTCTTTTTTGTAGACAGTCAGCTTTTGAGGTTACTAATATTTCTTTTATGTAGATCGTAAATTGTCTTATTTTCCAGGTTACTAATTCATATTACGATTATTAATATTGCTTATTGCTATTGCTCCTTCCATCTAATTTTTTGGCTCTTAGATTGTTGTTATTATTTGTTAATATTGCTTATACTATTTTTTTTTTTCTCTTTCTTGAGTTGAACATCTATCCAAAACAACTTCTTTACGAATTGGGCTAAGGTTACCTGCCCATACCCCACTTGTGAAATTTCATTGGGTTTTTTATTGTTGTTGTTGTTATTGTTATTAATTAGTACTAGTAGTTATAGTTTAGATGATTTGAAAGTGTTTTTTTTTTTTTTTTTTACTTTGGTAGTATATGAGCTAAACTCTTATTGTTTTTGTTGTGTTGAGTTTTCAACGTTTTTAATTTTGGTGTGCAGCAACAACAAACAGGGAAGTTCAAGATTGTGGCAAGAGATGAAGTTGACAGATAAGATTATACATCTACGATGATTAAGCAGAATTGCAGATGATTAAGAATCCTAGTTTTTAGTAGTTGAAGACAATAGTATTATGTGATTGTTTAAATTCGTAATCATTTTCTATCATTAATTGAAGTCTTCCATTTTGTTTCCAACTTCATTGTTAAGTACTACTTATTAATTTGCACCCGAGAAAATCTGAAAAGGGACTGTTATTGGACTCTATATCTTATTTGGATAAACTCTCTATAAATTTCGATCATATCCAATCACAATAACAAATCTTATAAATAGGGCTACAATCTACGTTTGACAAGTATGCTCAATATGGCTTCAAGACTACGATTTTGGGTGTGTTTCCAAATAGTTTTAGTACTTTTGGGGTCATGTAATTGTAAAGAGAAATCAGCAATAGGAGATCCAGGAATGAAAAGGGATAATTTAAGAGTGGCAATAGAGGCATGGAATCAATGCAATGAGGTACATGAAGAGGCTCCAAACATGGGAAGTCCAAGGCAAGCTGATTGTTTTGATGTCCAAAATTCTAAATCCAAAAGTAAGCCATTCTTCATTCCTAGTTTATTCACTTAGGTGGAAATAATATTTATAAAATTTGTTGAAGTAACACTTTGTCATTAGCACTATAAGTTAAATTTTCTGTGATAATCATATGCTGATTCTGATTTACTAAATTCATTTAATGAAAAAGTTGATCTATTTTTGTAAACAATTAGTTTGTGCAAACTTATACACATTTGGTGTTTACGTCAACCCATACTATTATGGTTAAGTAATAAATTAAGATGAGAGCGTATTAATTAGTATGATTCAGTGATAACCATGTTTGCAAAGACACGTAACATGTATTTGTTGGATTGATACAAATATTTTTTACCATCAAAAGACTTTTTTTTCAAAACTAGAATTAGTGTTACTAAGGAGTCAATTACTTCACCAAAAAATATAGGCTTGTACTCGTTCATGTATCCACTACATTGTTACATCAATAATAACAACAAACTCAATGTAATCTCACAATTTCGGTTTGGGAAGGATAGTATGTATGAAAAACTTACTCCTATCTTGTGAAGGTAGAGCTGTTTCCGATAGACACTCGGCTCAAGGACAGCATAGTATCGCTATATTGTTGTAAAGAGATTATATACACTTACTAAAACCTCTAATCTTTTGTTGTCTTCTATTGCAAGTTATCATGCTTTTGTTTCTCTGTAAAAGAAGAGAATATAGTAACCATAAAAATATTGTTTTGCAGTGAAGCTGGTTCACTTGGTGAACGATTATGATAACAAGCTGAGCATAAATGATGCCAAAAACCTAGGACTAGAGAATCTGGACGTGAATAAATATGCAGCCTGGAAAGAATTGTTCTTGGGATCCAAATGCCAAGTTCAAGATGATCCAAAGCCATGGAATTTCTGGATGATTATGCTCAAGAGTGGTAACATGGACACTACAGCTGCTATTTGCCCCAAAAATGGCAAACCATCTCAACCATTTCCACCCGAGTCGCGCTTTCCATGTTTTGGCAAAGGTTGCATGAACATGCCTAAGATATACCATGACTACACCGCATTACATAGCCATAAGCACATTGTAAAGCAGAGAAAATTGAAGGGAAGTTTTCATGGGACATGGGATTTGGATGCTGATATTTACAAGGCAGAAACTCAAAATGATACTTCCTTTTTCTCAGTTACTTGGCATAAGCAACTTGGAAAAGGAAGCTGGAAATTTCATCATATCTTGAAAACTTCATCAAAGTACCCTTGGTTGATGCTTTACTTGAGGTCAGATGCAACCACTGGAGTTTCTGGTGGATATCATTATGAAACAAGAGGCATGTCAAAAATAGTAGGTTTCTCTTCCAAATCTTTGCATTCTTGAAATTTTCATTACTATTATGTTCTTGTTATACATACAATGTCTTGAAAGAATGAAAAAGATCAATCAATATACGTGATACCACATAGTTGGGGTTAAGTTTTAGCCATGTTAGCGCATTTACTTTAGCTCCAAATTGCTTATATTTTTTTGATTTGTCATACATTTATATGCCAATAGAAAATATAGAAGCAGAGGTTGGAATTAAGACATAATTGTTGTTGTTCTATTCTTGTTATTACATTCTTATATATTCTGGTCTGCTGATATGGAATTAGGTTCCAAAGTCACCAAATTTCAAAGTGAAGTTCACTTTGGATGTGAAAAGAGGAGGTGGTCCAAGTAGCCAATTTTATCTAATGGACATAGGCAGCTGCTGGAAGAACAATGGACAGCCTTGTGATGGGGATGTTACCACAGACGTAACGCGATACAGTGAAATGATCATTAATCCTGATACTGAAGCATGGTGCAACCCCACAAATAATTTAAGGCTGTGTCCACCTTACCATACTTTTGCAAATGGAACACGCGTTCATCGGACTGATAAGGCAAGATTTCCTTATGATGCTTATCATGTGTATTGCTCCCCGGGGAATGCAAAGTATCTTGAAGAACCATTCAACTATTGTGATGAATATAGCAATCCTCAAGCTCAGGAAATACTTCAAATTCTGCCTCACCCTGTTTGGGGAGAATATGGATATCCAACTAAGAAAGGGGAAGGATGGATAGGGGATCCAAGAACTTGGGAACTTGATGTTGGCAGACTCTCACAATCACTTTACTTCTATCAGGTACTATAAGTCTTGGAACAAAATATATGTATTAAACCCCTTATACAGGATGAATCATTTCATAACTTGATATTTTCTTGGTGATATTGCAGGATCCTGGCACAAAACCTGTTAAAAGGCATTGGCCATCTGTTGATTTGGGTACTGAGATATATGTTAGTGGAAATCAAGTTGCTGAGTGGATCGTTAGCGACTTCGATATCATTGTGACAGATGAATAGTTTCACTTTGGTTAGGAATAGTGTGTAGTTTTGTTGCTTGTTTCACTCTTAGAACTTTAGTAGAACTCTGTAAGGATTCGATATTCTTTTGTTTATGTTTATATCAATGAATTAAGGCATACCGGCAAGTGTTGTAGCTTGATCATCTATGAAAGAATTGACGCATTACCAGATATAAGCTGAAATTCATGCAGTAATGGGAAGGTCAGACTAAAATTGCTTGAATGCTTAGTGAAGAAGGGGCCATTACATTTCAATTATTGTAGTCAAAGTACATATTACTATCATTCTATAAAGGAATTGAAACAGTAAAAATCAAACACTGGAATGACTAAGTGGACCATGATGAATGTCACAGTTCTTAGACCTTCAGACGGTCCGTCGAGACATAAATATAGTATGTTTTAAGAAACTATTAATCCATAATATGATATCTATGCGAAAAGACAGTTAATACAGAGAGCAAGTTATTAATGAAGAAGAAATAAATTTGTTATATCAAGAGATTAGATTATCTCTTATCCCACACTCTCTTTCAGAAAAAATAAATTTGTTATATCTAGAAAAAATACAAACACATCTCTCTAAAGAGATTAGATTATCTCTTATCCCACACTCTCTTTTAGATCCGAAAAGGGTCCTAAGATTCTTGTATTTGGATCCGAAAAGGGTCCTAAGATTCTTGTATTTGTCTATCATTCATCTTTATCTAATGAAAGAGGATCCGCCTCACTCAAGATTGGGTGAATCTTCTCCTTTATTTACATTTTGCCATTTAATGTTATTTAATGCATCGTCTTTTTTCATACTATCAGATTCGGCCATAATTACTGCCAGCATTTATACTCAACTATATTTTTTTATACATGTTATCCATCTCAGATATAGAATTAATTATCCTTAACTAGGATTTACCCTCTATCTTCTTATTTAGTTAGTTTAACAAAATGTCTCAAACAGGAGTCATGTCAATTAGGCAGAAGTAGATATTCATATATGCAGTAGATGTGGAAGAAGGAAGTCGGGAAGAATCGTTACTTCTTTCATGTCAGAAATACACATGGATTATGCTTTACCTAAGATTGGATGGACTATCTGGTGGATTGTGGATGTTCCATTAAAGAAGGGAACGATCCAGGAACTAGGATATTTCATGTTCATGAAGATTCCTGGTTCGAATCCTAGCTACAGTGCTCAGCGTCAGCTAATCCTTTCCAACTTTGATTGGCAGATTTACCCGGTAACTGGAAATAAGATTATGGCATATAATAGTAAGATGAACATGTCAGGTCCTAATCCTAGCTACAACACTCTGTGTAATCACATTTTTATTCCAACCTTGGTGGATAGGTTTATCCAATAATTGTGATTATAGGCTGTAGAATATTGTCTCATAGATTAATTAGTCAAGGAGCACTTAGGCCTCATTTATTTTTATTAAGATTAAGAGGTCTGAATCTGAACACACGTCTGAATATGAAAAAGTGTATTAAGATTCAGACGTCTGAATCTGAATACGCAACTGAATAATTAATATACTATCTCTGAATCTGAACACTGAATGATTAAGACTGTTTGTTTTTAGTATCTGAATATGTGCAATTTATCTATATTTAAACATAACATATATAAAATTCAAATAAAATAGTTAATTAACATTATTTCAAATTCTAATGTTCACACATTAAAAACATATTTCTAATAACAAAAATATAAAACTATCAAGCATTTCCTCTTCCTTGCATTAGCTGAAGTGCAATTTCTTCACGCATATTGTTCATAAATTGAGAATCTTCAGTTGTCCAGCTAGGTCCATTTGTTTCATCCAATACTTGTTCGTGTTCTCCTTCTTCCTCAAATATTATTTGAGGCAAATCATATTGATTAAACATGTCATCATTTAGTCGCTCTTTTCTGATAAAATTATGAACTGCAAAACATGCAATAACAACATCTCTTTGGACATCAATAGAATTTGGAGCCATCTTGTCCAATATTGGGAATCTTGCTTTTAAAACTCCATAAGCACGTTCAATAACATTTCTGAGTCGTGCATGAGCATGGTTAAATTTTTCCTCCTTATTTATGGCCCGTCTACGATGATAATCTCCTAACCAATATCGAATATTACGATATGGTGCTAGAAATCCTCGAGTATTAGGATATGCTGCATCACATAAATAGTACTTATCTGTCATCAAAAGAAAAAGTTAAATGAATATAATAAACATCTAACTTATTATTTCAGAATAGTTTAAAAAGTTGTATCACTTACTAGAAGGAGGAAATGGAAAGCCATTATCTGGATTAGATGTGATCTCTGTTAGAACACGTGCATCATGTGCTACCCCTTCCCATCCAGCATAAACATAAGTGAAGACCATGTTAAAATCACATATAGCTAAAACATTCTGATAACATTTACCCTTTCCTCTTCCTCTGTAAATAATTTGTTGATTAGCTGGAATAACTGTATGTACTAGTGTCCCGTCGAGTGCACCTATTGCTCCCTGCAAATAAAAATAATAATTTTATGTTAATAGTTATGAATTTTTTTCTTACGGAGTTATATAATAATTTTATAGCACATAATACCTTAAAATATTTTCGTAATTTTTTATGAGCACCAGAAATTTGTGGATTTGAATCAGAGGTTGTAGATGATATCATCTCTTTTGCAAATAACATCATTGCTTCAAGAACCTCATGAAAATATTTGTGAACCGTTTGCGAAGAATGTTGAAATCTTCTCTTCATAACCACAAAACGCTCATTATGACCTATAATGGTCAGAAATATTGCTATCTTTTCTTCGATGGAAAGATGTTTGCTATCTATGAGCCATCCTTTATGTCTAAAATGCTGACATAGCCGAACATATGCTTCACGAGACATGCGCATCAGTTCTAAACACTGTCTACTAGAGCAGGACAACAATTCTTGTGTGTACTTTTCACCAAATAAAGATGAAGTTAAATCTTTATTTCTTTGGATATTCTTGAGTCTAAAATGATTTTTACACCAATACAAGATCATCAACGCTAATACTTGATCCTCAATGTCCATGTCTAAACTGTTGTAACAAAGAGAATGTGTAATACACAATAGTAAGCATACCACATCATGTATTTGAAAAATATTTAAAAGTTACATGATCAAAATAAATTAATTAATAAACAATACCACGCACATCAAACATACTTCAAATAAGACATTTCAAAAAGGTATATCACAGATTGAAAATATTCCACGAGCATAATATAATATTAAAAAATTAAACAAGTATAATCGATAATAGTTGGAAAAACCAAAGAAGGTTTCATATTATTAACGTCTAATTAATAATCTAGCTAATTAGCAAAATCAAATAAGCCCCATTTTTTTTTCCCATGGCCTTAATCCAATTCTCTAATTTGTCGACCTCGGTAATGTTCATCCATGCTTTCCTGTAGCTGTCACCTTCACAAAGTATACTAACAGTTGCACTGTATAATGGTTCTTCTCATCCAAGTTCTTCTAGTTTTACCATGCACTCTTCAACGTCAGGCCCGCTATTTTTTTTAATCAATAACTCTAATGCATTACTCATCTTCTCTTCAATGTCCAATTGAGATGATGCGATTTTTTTTTCCTTTCCCAAAGGTTTCTTTTCAATTGGAACTGAAGACTGAGATGGATAATCAGTAGGAAATTACCAACTAGATCTTCGATGCTATCAAGTGTATCTACATCTATAGTAGTAGCTACAGAAGAGACACCAGGGCGGGGATATGTACGGCTTGGACTCCAACCATGAATTCCTGTTGCTGTAGAACCCTCAAAAAATTTTGTACAAAGATCCGGGAATGGTAGAGGCGAGGTCTTCAATGCCTTTGCTTTTGGATGAGCCTATAATAAAGAGATTTTTAATATGCATGTCAATCTTTTTTCTTTATAGAAAAGAAAAAAGGAAAAATTAAATTACTAGATAATGAACTAACCTTTATGTACTCATCTCACTCACTATTAGACATTAGAATGGTATTGGTTGTTGGGTCATAAATATTGCCGGTCTTTTTGGTTATTGGCAACCAAGCTTGATACTTTTCTTTTAGATAATCATAATGATTCTTCATCTGCTTTTGTGTGACACTAAAGCCATGAGAAGTCTCCAACACTAGTCTAACTTTGTTCCATGAATCTGCCTTTAAACTACTTCTAAGTCTCCCGTTTAAGAATATTTCTTGAATACAACTTTCTAAAAAGGTTTTTATTACATTCATATTTTTCCAACTTGCTCTTGAATTTTCACTAGATTGTTCCATAGCTGAAATATTAAATGGTAATGATTATAGAAAATGAACTGATGAGGCAAAATGAAGATATTATCAGCTTAACAGACTTTATCTTTTTTTCTCCAACACAAAAGATCTGATTATTACTTATGCCAGAGGTAAGGAAAGGTGTTCTCATATAAAATAAAAATATTAAGCAGAAGTAACTTGACAAAAGGCCCTCTGGCATAATATTGTTGACAAAGTCAGGGAGTAATGGACAAGCAATATAAAAAATTACCAGGACCTGCATATTCAGATGCTACCTGCTAGACCTTTGAGCGTGCAAATAAGGATTTCATTGATCCAGATTACCAACACACACACACACACACCCCCC